ATCGCTCATTTCTGACAATTTAAGCTAGGGAAAATGAAAACGAAATTTGACATTTTCTGTTTTTCCATGATATCTCAGTTAGGTATTTTCAAAGGAAATAAAAGTTACGCTGACGGGCGTACATCATTGGTCACGTCAATCGTAGTGAGAATCTACAGGGTGCTGTTTTTTCGGGGATCATGTTCTATTTCCTACCTCTTCTTCTTTTTTCGGTGCGCCACAAGAAGTTAATTTTCCATTTTCTGTACAAACTTTTTGGTCTCTTGTAATTTTTTCGTATCTGTGGCCCTTATCGAGAGAAAAAACAAAAATCAATTTTCGGTAGTTAAATCATTAAATGAAACTATAACTTTTAAAATGGTCCAGTAGGCCCAGGTTTTATTTGGATAATAACTTTTTTTTAGTTTTGACAGTTTACATTGAAAATTGTACTATGCGATCAAAAATGAGTCGAGTCACCTTTGGAATTTTTGTTTACATAAGATATCGTATTTAACTTGAACTTCCATAGGCGACTCGACAGCAACTCATTTTTGATCGCCCGTTATCTTGTGTTTGCATGTGTCGTTTATAAATTAAATAGTTTAAATTGTGTACGGTAGAACACCCTTGTAGATTGGAAGCCTTTAAGTACCTATGTTTATATGAACCCTGATATGAACTTTTAGTCATAAAATAAGGCAAAATATTATCACCTTCCGTATTCACATTATATTTAAGAACACCTTGTACATTTTACATTAGAGTACGGTTTTATTTTTTTTCCTAAATTGCACGGTTTTCCAGTTACAGCACGAAAATGTTCTCTTTCAAATTCAACAATTTTTGAGATGTCATTTTTACAAATACATTATCAGAACAGTGGAATTAAATAAAGACTCATAATCCGTTTGAAAAAAACGCAACTCTGCGTTATAACTAAAAAATCGTACAATATTAGGTAAAATTAAAAACCTAATCCAATTCGAAATACGAGTGTAAATAGTTCTATTCTTTGTGATTTTTCGATATTTTAAAAAATGAGTAAAATCAAAAACAAATTGAGCCTGAGATTGAGCCATTTTTTACCACCACCACCATATTGCATTGGGGTAAAAAAATGACCCACAATTTTTTTTAAGGAAATATACGTTTTGAAATTTGAAGCACCAGGAATCAGGATTAATCAAAATTTTGATGATGTCGGTCTGTCAGTCCGTCTGTACTCTCTTTTTCGCCTAAATGACTGAACCAATTGGAACCAAATTTGGTACACAAATTCTTAGACATAAAAGGAAGAGCAGAAAAGCTTTTGGGCAGAATACGCATGCGCAGGTGGTATCTGTGCTATCCACAGCAAATTTTTTAAATTGCACAGTTGCCACATTATTATTTGCGATAGGTCAAAACGACAGCATAATCGAAGTTTTTAAAAAAAAAGACGCGAAGATGTGAACACCGTTTCTCAATGTTCCTACAGATAAAGGGGCTCTAAATTGAGACGCCCTGTACAGGTTGTCCAAACTTAAAGGGTGACTCGTTGCATCTCGAAAACCATAAGATACAAGGTGGGATAAATAGAGGCAAAATGAGAGATTCACTGGTTTAATTACCGACTACAAGTGCCTTAAAAACAAAGTTGACTAGGATAGTTTAATAATAAAATTTGACCAACATTGCAATTCTCATTCTCAAATTACCCATAATTGTAGCAGATTATGTTAAGTAGATTATGGGAATTAAAAATAATGATAGGAGAAAAAACGAGAGAAAAAACTTACGATTTTTAACCTTGCTAAAATTACGGTGTAATTAAATTCCTCAGTTCTTATGCAACCATAGGGATTCTTTGAATATTCACACATTTTTTCGCGATGAGACAAGACCATTTTTGCTGCTCATCGCAGATATTTCACTCCTTTACTAAATATGTCAACAGACGCTGAAAAGTTTACCTCCTCACTAAATTATGTTTTTAGCGAAAATCTAGGATCCAATTCAATATCCATCTCAAAAAAAAGAAAAATGCACCTTTAGAACACCTTTACTGTGTTAAATTGAAGGATTCCATTGAGCAATTTAAAGAGAACTTTGAAAGAGGATTATGAGGAAATAAAAGATACTTAGGGGGGTTTTAAAGGGGAACTTGGGATGATCTTGAGATAAAAATTTAGGGAAAGAACGTGATGTGAAAAAGTGAGAAGCACAGAGAGTTAAGAAACGCTTAAGAACAAATTGAACAAAACTTTAAAGAAAAATGCAGGAAATTTGCCCCCCCCCCCCTCCCATGTTTAATGTTTATAACTATGTCTTATTAAGCACTAAAATAAGGGAAGTATAAAATCGTTTTCAATCTTCAAAATATTGGCTAGGTATTGAATATTTTTGATATTGTAAAAATGTTATTTAATATTGTGTTAGGCTTTAGTACTCCCATTGTTTTTTAACTAAACGAGTCATGGCCAACTAACAAAAATTCTTAAAACCGTACCTATTATTGTAATCCAATTGTTACTATTGCCAACTTCCTTATTATTGGAGCTACTACTACCTTACTATATTACTTATCACGATATTCAAGAAAGTAATATTTTTTCAATAGGTGTGGGTTGTATATTTTGCTTATTTTAAAAAAAAGGTAACATTCTCATTAAACAACTTTAACACCTAACTAAATACTCTGAGTCAATTAATGATATTCATGGTAAATTAATACACACTGCATTTTCCATTTACAATGGTTTCATTTACATTGAATGTTTAATATGCGCGGTAGATCTTTTAGTAAGTAACTAAAGACCGCCTTTAATATTATGTAAATACAGTATGTTCCATTTAAAGTTCAATTGTTTTCAGATACTGCGGCTTTCTCAATTTTCTTCCAATTCTACACATTATTCAGATTTCGCAGTTTTCTCAAATTTTTCAAATTCTTCAGACCCTTTAAAGCTTTAGTTTCTTTAGATCCTTCTATCGCTTCTTGGAACGCTTCAGATTCCTTCAGTTCTCCCTATTTTTTCATTCTTTACACTTATCACATTGCATCAGTTCATAGATTCTTTAAAATATTTCATTTCTGCGGGATTTTTCCCATTCTTAGGTTTCAGATTCTAAAATAATCAGGTTCTCCTGATTCTTCCATTTCCTAGGTTGTTTAAATTCCAATAAGATCCGGTTCTTAAGTTATGTAGATTAAAAACGAATGTTTCTCAAATAATTTACTTTATAATTTACTGTAGGTCTAAATTTTGCTGAATAAAATAAAATTGAAATTGAAATATTTGGACATAAAATTCAAACGTCAATAGTGGAAGTAGAAATGGTAAACGTGTTGAATTTGAGGTTATGTGTGTATATTATAAATATAATATATTATAAATTCAACACGTTTACCCTCGCGTTTACCATTTCTACTTCCACTATCGACGTTTGAATTTTAATAGTTAACTTGTCCTCGTCCATCAATTTTAACATGTCCAAATATTTCAATTTTATTTCATTATTCAGCAAAATTTAGACGCTACGGTCTGATGGTGAATCTTAGATTCGAAATCGATTACCTACAGTAAATTATAAAGTAAATTATTTGAGAAACATTCGTTTTTAATCTACACACCCTACTCTACAAATAATTACAAATGGAGCAATACATCAATAAAATCGCTTGTTAAGATTCTTCCATCCCTTCTAATACTTCGGATTTATCAGAGTTATAAAGGAGCAAGCCAGAGCTCGTCCATGATTTTTGACTTTCCGTCCGTCCATCCGTTCGTCTGTGTATATAGTATATAATTCACGCTTTTCAGTAATAGGTAGACAATGGTCAGGTGATTAACTAATTAAATTTTGATCATTTGGACTTTCTGTCCGCCCGCCTGTGTACATGATAACTCGCGAACGAGTTTTACTGTTTACAGTAATAGGAAATTCGTTTAGAATAACGCATGAACGAATAAAACCATAAAACTACATATTTCAGTTTATAACATGTTTATTAGTTAAAAGGCTATAATTAATATACGAAATGTGATTGGTGCATTTTTGGAATCCAGCCAATCCATTCCTTTAAAAGGAATTCTATTTAGCTAACCTTATATTTTTAAACTCGCCATTGCACAACTTGCCTTTTAAAAGCAAAATGTACCAATTCAATGTCGTTCAATAAAGTAGTCCAGTCAGTGGCGCAACCAGAGCAGCCCCCGGAGACGGAAATGTCAAAAGGGTCTTCCTTATTTTTTTGCCTACATTGCCAATTTGCCAACTTCAATGTAGAAATTCCACCTGCAAATTTTCATCCTAACTGGACCATCTGTTCTCTTTTAAATCGATGGACATGAAGCCATCAAGCGCACGATTGAGAGAAACCACAAGCATCTCGCTTAATAACACGACGCTACAAGCAAGTAAACCAAAAACACTACTACATGGGTATTCCCTGCATAACCCACTCATATCGACAGACAGACAGACTACCTTTGAATTTGAGACGTTTATTTTGAAATTTTTTAGGCAAAAATATTTGGAGAGCACATGGATTACCTACTTCTTGACAATTAAGCAATCGAGTTTGGCCTTTTCCCAAGAAAATTGGCGCATGAGAAACAATTCTGGCATCTTTGGTTAAAATATTTTGGTCGCCAAAAATACACATGGATCACTTCTTTGGTATCGAGCAGTTGAGTTTGGTCTTTTTCTCAAGAAAATTGATGAATAAATAACGATTTTGACAAAAACTATTTTGAGCACCAAAAATACCACTTCTTGGGCATCAAGGAATAAAGTTCACTTTTTATCCCAACAAAATTGATGCATAAATAACACTTTTGACCGAGTTTTACCAACAATGTGATGGATGACAGAATTAATTTTTGATAGTTGCACATCTGGAACACATAAGCTTTCATATAACAAAAACCTGAGGTCGATACAAAGTCTAGGGACTGAGCTATTGCGCGGAACGACGGACGAAAAAGACATAACCAAATAACTTTCATAGATTGGATTAAAAAACAATTACTTACATGTGGTGGTGGTTGAGGAACTAGTTCTGCTTGGGAAGGAGAAACCTTTGGACTGGAACCATTTATTCGATGAGGCATGTGCTTTCGTAACAGCTCGACCCAGTGATTAGCTTCGTCTTTACTTTGGCAAATCGCAGTCCGCTTTTCAATGAGAGGGCCTGTTATCTCGAACGCGTTTTTGTACTGATCACTATCTTCCAATCTTGTAACTGTTATACCGGTTAAAGGTAACTTTCCCTGAGAGAAAACAAATTTGCACTCGGCCAGTACTCTTTGAAATTTACCTCGTAAATGAAAGCACTAAACCTGGGACTAACTGAGAGTATTAAGAGGGTTGAGGGAAACAACACAAGATAGCGATCGTGATGCTGAGGGCCAACGGCGACTGAACCCATGTAAACTATGTCGCCGAGACTAGACAAACTTTGACCTTCCCAACCGCGCACAGGACCCGTTACAACTTGCAACTCAAGCTCTTTCTGACGACGGATTGCCAAACAAGTAGCCTGAAAGAACATTTAAATGTGACCTGCACACGGCCACCAATAAAAGCTTACAGCAATGTCCTTGTAAACTGCAACCGATCGCTGCGTATCGCCACGATCAACGTGGCTCTCCTCCAAATGCCTCTCCAACTCCTGCAGCATGCCCGAGTATTTATCTAACCTTCGAAAAGGTTTACTGAGACCAATCGTTAACACAAGAACGCCAGGTGTCGTCGCACCGCACGACTCCATGTACGTCGTAAGTTCATCTCTAATAACTACAAATACAATTCGACACATTACTCATTGTTAGTTTACCTGTATTTATCCAATATAAAAGCAGCTTTAGGATGTAGCGAGCAATAAGCTTGATGCGCTAGTTTAATTCGTGGAGCCCAATTTAGAAACAGTCTACCTACTCGTTGATCTTCGCTTGGCTTGGCCGCCTCCTCTTCGATTAACGCCAACAGTTGCTGATGCGTTTCTAATACTTCTAAAAAATTGCCGGTCAGTTGTCTGTATTCATCCGCAGATAATCTGTAAATGGCGGGAATAAAACAGTGAGTAAATGTACAAGCAAATAGAATAACATAAGGCGCGTTGACACAATGCAAGTGCGCAGGTTAAAATGTTATTTACCTATAGCAGAATGCGCTGCCCAAATGCGCCACAGAACTTTACCGATGCGAAAACAATCTTCTCTTACAATGACTTTTAATTGAACTTATTTAATCCCGGCGCGTCTCCAATTCAAAAATGTTCCCTCTCGTAAATTTTATTATTCATAAATGAATGGCCATGCTACAAGTGAGGCTAGCTTCCCAATTTAACATAAAAAAGAGTCTGCACGCTGCAGGTAACTCGCATTTTTCACCAATTTATCAGGAGTTTCTTAACGATGCGATTGAAAAAAATAGCAGCGACATTCTTTGGGATTTTCAACTCGAAATAAAAACTGGTAACATACATATCTTTTAGACCGTTCAAGATAAAGTGGGTGCTCGTTTTTATAATCGAATCTATAAAATCTAAGGGATTTTTGAAATGACATTTCAAACTATTGACCAATCATAAGCATTTCGGATGATCGTATTGTCGGATTTCGTATTCATATGAATCCAGCTTTAGAGATATGAATTTTTGAGTGGACCCTTGCATTTCTAAATTTTTACAGAAAAATTGACATATGTCAAAAACCAGAACAGATAGGTACGGAAAATCTTAAATTCGTTGAATACATAATAAAAGGGAGCATTTAGAAAAAAAAGAAAATTTTATCTAATTTAAAAAACCACGCACACACGGTCTAAACAATGCTTATCTCAAAATGCACATCTTTTTATCGCTTTTTATTTCCAGACGTACTTTCGTTCATGTTCCTATGAAGCAGTACTTGTGTAACTTTCCCTACGTTCACTAAATTACAAAATCAAAACCAAATTTTTGAAAACGGCTAAAGCGACCAGTAGCAATCCTGCTTAAAGGGTGAGATGGGTATCAAATTTGGGCCATTTCGAATACATCTGAGCATATTTTTCAATTTCTGGAGAGTAGGGAGTTGCAAATTTTGGTTCTGACACATCGCATAATCGCATACGTATCACATTTCTCGTTAACACGCCTATAAGAATAACTGCTTTAAATAAAAAAATTGATTCATTTGATTTTGATCAACGTCAAGGCATTACTAATGACGGCACGTTTATTCGATACCATCGATGAAAATGTGCAAGGGTTTACAGACTACAATTTCTTAAACCAAATAAAACCATACAATAAAGTAACACCACATATCATACCTACTTTTGGTACAAAAAAAATGAGATTTTAGGTGCCAAACTAACTTACACTGAGCTTTTTTCAAGCGGCTGAAGAAAATTATGAACCACTCCTTGCTGTTCTGAAATATGAGCATTTTCAGAATCGATCAAATCTTTTAAAACAACTGCTCTATACTGCTTCTGTTGCGAACTAGTAGATGCTGCATTAGCTGTCTGAAAATCTAAAACACATAAAAAACATAAAGTGGGCATTTCAAGAATCTGTAAATTCCAAACCTTTACATTCTTTCACATAATTGCTAGGAAACCACCCAGTTTTATCGCCCAATGTGCCTTCCCACCAACCACCCTCTTCCTTCTGGGTGATCGTAATTTGGTCTCCCTTCTTAAAGCACAACTGAAAAGCAGTCATTATCATTAAGTACACTGGCAAATCATGTACTTACTTCGTCGTTATTTGTACCCTTAAACGAGTATATCGCTTGAACAATCAAGGGTTCGGACGCCATATTTGTGTTAATTCCATTCATAAACAACAATTCCCGGTAGCGGCTATAAATAAAAATTAAGTAGAAACACGCTCCACAAAAATTGCTACGATACCACACCCAAAAACAGTCAACTTTGATTGCAAAAAGCGGATGTATTCACAAGTTTCTATCTTAGCGTCTTATAGAAAAAAATAAATTGTGAATGTTGTCGCATTCTTGGCACCGGACCAATATACGTTAAATTGGAGTGGTGCCAAAAAAGTACACATGCGCTTTTATAATGCTCAATAAAATAATGTGGACTAAATAGATGTTATAGATCTGGATAGGCGAGTAATTGGCAATAATGCCCGTGCAGAATGGCAACGATACCTACCTATTAATTTAACCAACACTTCATTGAGTCACAATTTCAATTAATTCAAAATATTATAGACTATAGCACAAACAGTAAGAGACTTTATGGCAGAAATTATATATTTTTCATTGTATACACACAGGGATACGTGAAATTCCTCACAAAGACTACCCACATTATTTAAAAAAATGTATATTTATAAAAAAAATAATAATAAATAAAGAAAACGTTAACCTCAAATTTATATTTATCACCAAATTTTGGTGTGAACTATTGCCAACATTATTTCCTACCAACTTATACCAGTGGCGTCTCACATTTTTCCTTGTCGAGGATATCTCCAGTGACAGGAAATGCTAAAGCATTAAGTTTATAATAAATGTATAATAATAAAATGTAAGTGGATTATATAGCAGAGCTATCACTAATACTTTATAATTGTACTAAAAGTAACCAGTATTCAGCAACAAATATATTATTTTTACTTGAAATCTTAATATAGGCAAATACTACAAGCATTATATCTACCGCAGTACTGTCAGTAGCAAATATTATGTGTGGTACTAATATGGTACTTAGCGTACTGAAACACCTCACTATTCAGTAATGCACTAGAAATATACATTACCCGTGACAATACTTACTTTATTTTTCATTTGCCTATTATATGTCGCAATTATATCTGTCATATGTGATATATGAAGCAGTCTATTACGCCCAAGGGCATAATGGATTTTCATCTCATTATGCCCTCAAACGGCCTGTCAAATTGATTGACGGGGTTATATTATGTAATAAAAAAGATGCAACTTGATTCGTATGAAGCACTTTAATGTTGGGCAAACAATAATCATGATTTTTGTATATTGGAAATGCATTCTTCGGAACGATGAAAAATGAAATGGTGTATGCTCCTCAGGCATTACTCAATATTTAACCTTCAGTATAAATATCGCCTTAATGCCCTTGATGCATGAATAACTACAACGTACTTTTATAATTACTGTTTAAAGTTTTCAAAAATGGCGCTTTTTAGTATGGTACAGTCCACAGAGAGTATTTTATATGAGGTGACTTAGGGCCAATTCTATGTACAATATACCTAGAATAAATGTCGACGGTTGCGTTGGTTACAATTCTGTCAACCAATGAGTTACATGTTGCCATGGCATCAGTTATTCCAAGGATAAAAAGGGAAAAAGGCCAACGTGTTTCATTCCTCCGGCACCCCTGACTACAGGGATACCGGAGGCGGGCTGCTCAGGGCTTCCTGGCCCTCTTCAGCCAGAGAACGGGATTGTAAGGATGGGTTAAGTTAGGGATGGGAACGGAAGGAACGGAGTTAGGGTGCTGAGGGGGAGAGTACTGCTCCAGCATTCGCCTCGTAGATTTCAACATAATGCTAGCATTATGCGAAGCTACGTATTGCTACGGGGGTTCCTTCTGGACTTGAAAATTGCCATCGGTTCCGCCCGGCAAGGCAAACCGTCTTCTTCTCAGGCTGCTCAATCGATAAAAATAAATGCTCCGGCTAACTCAAATCGGTGGGCTTTTAACTCTTTTGAAACTGCGTAACAAACCTTAACCTGCCGCCTACCAGTCTCCTGCCTCAACTCCTACTCCTCTCTTTCCTTCCCCTCGTTCTTCGTTAAAGACATAGGCACATTGAAACCAAATAGATAATATATTGAAATGATATTAGAGATACAAACAAATTACAGGGATCTAGCAGTTCTTCTCTCCTCCTTGTAAAAACAATAGCTTAACAATGACAACTAAACTAAATAAAAAATCCTACCAGGTGAGACTAATTTACTCAAGGGGTGGCCATCCTCTACAGTTTGAAAATTTCAACAACAGGTCATCGGTTTTTACTCCATCGTGGGCTGGGACTTATTTAAATAAACACAAAAATTTATCCTACTCTTTGGTAATCGTTCATTGGACTTTAATAAACAATCAAATCAAAATTTTTTCTATAGCTTCCTTACCAAAAAGTGGAATTTTACAGAACGTTACAAATTTAATTAGACTAACCTTTACAACATTTGTACAGCCGATCTTGTGAACTGCTCTTTCCTCTGGTACAGGGTGGATGTGATGAAACCTGACACTTAGGTCTCTGTGACTTCCTAGGGGGTGGCTTGAAATTAACACACGGAAACAAAATCCACGGTGCCTATCCTTCCTCGGAACGAAAGCAAAGTTTAGTGTTTGAACTGAAGCTTAGTCCAGGAAATCCTTCGCGTGGCGAGTGGGAGACGGCTAGTTGCCAAAGTTTCTACACAGCGGTGTATTTAATTTAAACAGTGACCCCTACTATTTCCTTCCACCGGCTCTTAGAGTTTATTAACTTTGATCGCCTGCGGGAGACAGATTTTTGAGTTAGCGGCACGGCAGAACACAAATTTTTATGATCACTATCCGACGGTAAACCGCGATTTGTTCTTGGGTGGTTCGACGTATTATTTCACCAGCTCTTCTTGGGGCAAATATCTCTCCAAAACGCAGCGCTCCTTCGACAAATGACCGTACGGCACTAGTAGGAAATTCCACCTGGGGCGGATCCCGAATATCGGCGCCTTGAGGACTAGGGCAGCACTTTGAATTATATATCCTCGAGAAATCACAACGTATCCTAACGCGATTCACTGCATCCAAAGTAAACTGGGGTGAAGCTCAAGGGTTCGCCAAAATATCACCTGATCGGAACCTGGGTCTTCGTCGCCAAAAAATCAACGCGAAAAGAAAATAACACTTCGAAACGGGTGCAAAAAGCACGCAACTGCGAGCAACCGAAATAAACCGGTGGCTCAAACCGCTAAGTGTACCAAAACGATCGCTCAAGGTACGTGTTGACCCCTTGACGTACTAACCGCGAGTCTTCTCAAAACGATCGCTCAAGGTACGTGTTGACCCCTTGACGTACTAACCGCGAGTCTCTCCAAAACGATCACTCAAGGTACGTGTTGACCCCTTGACGTACTAACCGCGAGTCTCCCCAAAACGATCGCCTTCTTCAGAATTGAAATGAGAAAACCACACCCAAATTACCATAAAACAAAAATGGCTCCCGTTAGAAATTCTCCCATTGGTTTAGATAAAGAAGACTTAACCCACTCTAACTTCGTCGTCAACCTCCAGGAACTGCTGAATAAGCTGATCTCACGGTTTTCTGCTGACGAAATGAAAACCCCTTATCCCTTGATGGCTCGGTGCTATATCCGCTCCTATTCTCGGTCTAGACGGCGCCTTGGGTGATAAACGAACGACAAAATTCGCATTACTCATGATGACGTCAATCAACTTTGCAATCGTTCCCACGACGAAATTAAATCTGAGCGAAATTAAATCTATCGGACCATAGTCTTGAGCGAACCGAAATGCCCAAACACAAAATTTCTAACCGGAACAAATAATGAAATATACAGGGTGACCTGCACTATCATGACAAGAAATTTCGAATTTTTTAAATTAACTTCGGCGCGAAATAAAACCACTCGTTACAATATGCTAAAATTCACTTTCGCTAAATTACTCTTTGTTAGTTGTGATTTGGAAAATCTATATTATATATATTAAACCGAGGACGAAGTATTTATTTATTTATATGCCTTTATTTACAAGTAATGAGTGTATGTAGTTTATGTAAATCGATATCCAACTAAGGTCAAAGCTGATTGATTTCCTTCCCGTTTATGTGAGACCTATTGTATTATGGCTTAGGTTCCTTAGGGTACACGAAAAGACTGGACAGCAAAGGGCACCATCTCCTAAAATGGGCTAAGAGTGTGTTTCATTTTATACAAGAAGTTGCAAATAATTTTGGATTGAATTAGATTTTAAGCGAACAAGTCGCTCCATCCCTTATTTTTGCAAAATGAAAATTTTGTTTTTCAGAATCCCTGGCTGCTTAGGGACTGAGGATACGAGTACGACTCCAGCCCAAAGTTTTTGTAATAATCAAGAGGATAATTAGGGATGAATAATAGTTCGCAAATGTCCTCCTCTCACAACTAATTCTTGGTGGATGAACTTTTCCCTTGACTCGTTGCAACACTATAAAGAAAGACGGTGGTCTTCATTTGCGAAAGGGCACAAAAAAAGCAAGACACTCGTATTTTAGAGCGCAGAACGGAATAGGGGATGCCCAAAGACATTTTATAGAAACAAGGTTATCGCGTAACCAACCTATAGGGCTTATGTAGTTACAATGTAAATGCTACTATCGGTAATTTAAACACGACCCTTTGAATAGAATATACATATGCCTACCTGCTGACCTACCAATACGAGAAATCAATATGCACGCGTTTCAAGCAAACATATCTATCGACTTAAAGTCATACACTATAAATACTTACAGTAAGAAAACCACGTCGCTAATGACGATATCGTTTTAACAATAAGAAAAATTTGTAC